GACAGAGTGAGTGTGTTGTGCTCAGCTCATCATGTGACTGAATTCAGTGAGGAGTGCACAAAGCCAGACACATGGAAATGGGAGCTCAGCTAGACTGACAATCAAACAACGCTCACTTTCAGCCGAGTCCCTGTCTGTCGAGGACACTTCACGGCTTGTTTCCTTTCTGAAAAGTCACTGATTGTCATTTAATGTGCTGACGGACAACCTCAAGCTTGTGGATTTTCACGAGTGTCTCTTTTCCTCTGAAGCCTCCTCTCATTGTTGTCGATTGCTCAGTGAGGAATGTGCTCGTGCGTGTGGAGTAATGCTTGTTCAGCAGGTGTTTGTTTAATCAAACTTTGCTGGTACTCCGTCTCAAGAATGTAAAGCATGAGTTCTCAAAACAAGGAGTTCACCCCCTCTGCTCCCTTTTTCTCCACCCAAAACCTGTGTAGCACAACTCATATCACATGTTAGGTTTATTGTTCCCTCGAACTGAGGAGAATTAGCAGAGACTGGGGAATGAGCAGCCCTCTTTGTCTTCTGTGGGAACCTTCAGGTAAAATGGTGAACCTCCTCCCTCTAGTGGAATATTTATGAAGTGGAGTTCACTTTGAAAGTCTGTTTTTCTCTGTTAGAATAAAGGACAGTGTATGTTTTTATGCAATTTAATGTATCAAATAGCAGTACAAAAGTGAAATCTTCAGCACATTTATAAAGAAAAGACAACACAGTGGGCCAATTTTATCTTAAATGTAATTTCAGTTGGTTAATTTCCAATATACATTATTTTTAACTCAACATGCTGCAGAGAGTGAAGTTGATTAAGAGTTAATTTGTTCTTTTTTCCTTAAGAATGACTACAATATGACAAAAAGTCAAATGGATTAAAGCATTTTCCTTAACCATCTGATCCAGTTCGAAGCTGAACATTGCTGTTCACCTCACCACATAAGATGAGCAAGACTTTGGTAACCGTTCACAATTTGTTAGCTGGGTTAATCAATCTGAGTCACACTGACTCACAGTCTATTTATTACATCAGGATCACACCTTGGCAATGATTCAGTTCATCTATGGGGATCAGGGGAGAGCATCTGTCCTGAGAACAGAACTCAGGCACACACCAGCTTTAATGATCAACAAAGCAGGGGACCAAAAAGAAAATATATTGCGCTCTGATGTTGAGCCGGGAAACTTACATGATAACTTGATAACTTGATAACTTACATCTGAATAAATCTGTCCACAGCATGTTTTATCAGCAGTGACAAAATGTTCATGCAGAGAAAAGACCCAAGAATGCAGAACGCAGTAAAACAGTACCAGGAAGAGACAAACGCACACACAGAGGTATGGCGATCATTCTGAGGTGACTTTCAAAGACAAACCAACAGAGCATCCAAAAAAGCTAGAATGTGTCACAGGCACAAAAACAAACAAAGAGCAGTATCTGTTAGGGGCTAAATAGTCCAATATAGACTTGAGACTCAGTGATAGCGGACGCTTTCACTAAGGAGACTCGTGATACAAGAACATGGATCATATCACATGTGTGGCTTTCTAAAGTGATGCTGCAACGTCTGTTTTGGGGAAACCCGACTGGTTGGAGTCTGGCTTTTCTCCTGTAATCAACTTGTTTCGATTACCTTTATGCTTTCTTAATTTCCTTTTTAATCAAACCATCGTTGACCTGAGAGGGTTAGGTCAACCTGGTAAACCAAGGAGAGTTGAGAAAGTTGGGGTGTGACACTGGGACGAAGACGGGATGATGTGGGACATGTCACGTCTCAGAGCAAATCCCTGAAAACTCCCACATGGCACAAGTGCCGATGACGCACCGTCAGAGAGGAAAAACATGCCACTGATGGAGAGAATCACTTTAGAGGATTAAGACTGTCATCTATTTAGATTACAGGGCTTACCTGCCCATCTGTCGCCTTCAAGCTGACACACTCTCTTTGCATAATCATATTTGTGTCTGTAGACCAACTGCAAACAGCACTGGCTCTGAAAGTGTGCTAATGAGAGATTAGTTATATGGTATATACTCGATCTAAAAAGGTCATTAAAAAAAACTGAACAAAGTTTGAGTCCTGCTTTAAGAAAATGAGTACAGATCCATAAAAATAAGTGTCATACTGACTTACGCATCATTTCGGTATCATTTATCCAAATAACATGAATTGCATAAACAATCAGACTGTCCTCTGTCAGATTCATGACTAATTCATTTACAGATATTTTGCTTTTTCCTAGAGACAGATGACATCAAAGAAGTTTAAAAAAATCTCACAATGACAAAACAAAAAGATGAGACAAACCTACAGAGAAAAGAAATGAATAAAAGATTTCCACGGTTCCTCTATGGTGTCAGGGCTTTCGTCCAATAGATGCTTATGAATTATAAAGCAGCTTTTGAAATTCAAACCGATCGCACCCACCCTTTAAAGATAATAGAGTCTAAAACAGTAGATTTATTTGCTTCAGGGATTTTTTCTAGAAAGGTTTGGTGAGAAATAAGAATTAAAATGAGCTCATCTGAAGCTTCACACCAGATGTGTGGCGGCAGCCTTGGTTTTTTCCCGATAAACATGAAGCATATGAGGATATGGTATGTGATGCAATCACATTATGGACTTGAATCAGTAAAAAAACGGTTCATTTGTTTGTTGTTGTGAGCTATGTGTCCTTCAGGCGCTGACTTTCCCCTCACAGAGCAACAAGAGTTCACAGGTCGGTCAGCATTTTACCTAAAGTGTGAAGCTGAATAGCAGTGGGAAGAAGGGGCATGATGAGGATTTCAAGAGAACCGTCTGAGGTTAGCTCCTCACACCTACTCTCAGAATAAACAAACAAAGCTCGACATCCACCCACACACACACAGAGACTGCACATCCGGTCTGGACCCTGCCTCTGCCTCTCAATTATCTGCATCTCTCACACACACACACAAACGCACACACACACCTCCTCCTGTAATTAGCACATGCTCCTGTGAATCATTCCCTGCTGTAGTGGGCCACTGACACTCATTATCTGTGGGAAGTTCATTCACACAGGATGACCTCTGGCCATCGGAGCGAACTGTCCACCGTTCAGGCCGCGCTCACGCCACGCTGACCCCATCCTCAAAGCAACAATCTGCGGTTTATCTGCCTCTCTCAATCCCGCCGCTCGGCCCACTTCGTCCTTTCTATCTGCCTCTTCATCGCTCTCCAGCTCCCTTTCAGCTGATAGAGCTTATTGTGGACAAATAGGCTTAGGAGCATCGCTATGGCAACGGTGAATCGTAGAAAGCTGCATAAGCACTTCAGCTGGGGCCGTGATCCAATGGTTCCCCTCGGAGATGGTGCCCTCAACCTCCCACAACAAGCAAAGGCAAGCCGGAGAGGCTCCTGGGAGGAGGAGGAGGAGGAAGAGGAAGAGGAGGAGGAGGGGGATGAGGAGGAGGGGAGAGACTCACTGAGACGGGAGAGAAGAGACAGACGGACCATTTCTTTCCTTTCTTTGCTTTTCCTACCAGCTCTCTGCTGTGTCTGAGGACTTCTACAATTGTGTTCCGCTCGATGTAGTTATTATCTGTTGGGACACCAAGAGAAACTTAAGAGGAAGAGGAAAAAGAGGTGAGAAAAGCTATCTTTTTTCTCTGTTTGTATTGCTTTATTTGAGGCAAACAGAAAAAGAATAGCTTTTAATGGTTCATGTTAGAGAAGAGAGAAAAGTCCATGATTTTTTATTTGACTAAAAGAAAATCAGCAGACAAATAATTACAGATTGATTTAATTTCTCATGCAAAATGCTCAAACAACTGATGGTAACAGGTTGTCAAACGAGTGGGTAGATTTTATTGGATGGCTTTGATTTGGATTAGGTGATAAACTGTAGAATCATTTACAGATTTTGAAAATTTTGAAAATAACGTTTATCCAAAGACTTAACTATTTGTTTTCTATTAATTAATTCCTTCTGAAAAAACAACAACATCTTTATAGGTAAAGGATATCCATAGGGTATCAAATATAGGACTTTTTAAATAAGCTTTTTCTGTCTTAGAGGTGTTTTCAAAATGACTGTTTCACGAGCAAACAAAAACTGTCCTAACTGAGCCTGTCGAGAGAATATTAAACACCCGACCTATTCAAAGTCCAAAGTCCACCCGGCAGATATTGCTTGTGGTGATGGTTATGATACTCTTCAGGAAGCCACAATGCTTTCCTGCAGGGATGAGCTGGATGCTCCTGTATCTTGTACCCGGCGTTTCCGTTTCTGAAAGCTGCCGTGTTGTCTCAGACAGTCTGATCGTATCGTGCCCTTTGGCACACAGACGGGCATCCTGCCTGGATCCTGCCTGGATGTCTCATGATCATGACAGAATTTTATAAACACCACAAGTACACATCAACCAAAACGATTTGAAAATGTGTATTTTGATCCCATGTTGAGCATTTATACCCCTCAGAGCTCCATTCACCTCGCTGTTTGGAACACCAACTCACAGCTCATGCAAACAGAGAAACACAAGGTTAAATAAGATGACATTTACCAAAAACTAAATAATTAAACTAATCAGAGATTCCAGAAGGAAAATGATTGCCTCCAGACACATTTCAGTGATTTTCGGAACTGATTAAAGCTTTTCATTTCAATCACAATACATCAGCAGCTCACACCTTCTGTTTTTTGTTTTTTTTTGCATTTTCATTACAAAAAGCTACACGAATAAAGCGCTCTGCACTTCAAAGCTTTCGTACGGTGGCGGAGTGAGCAGGAAGATAAAATGGAGGAGGATGTCGTCTTTTAGAATTAAATCTGGAAGAAATGTATAAACACACAAATGCTGCATTTCAGGTTCTATGCAAAAAACTAATCTGAATAGTAAACCAATCCACTTTCTTCACTCAAAACTAAGGCATTCATTATCTTGATCTTTATTGGTGCAAAATCATTCAAGGCCTACATTATATCACCTAAATGATAAAAGGCCTTTTCATTGTGTCTCCCCCTCACCAGGGGCCATGGCCTCCTGGTTCGGCTGGAATGAGCCGTACTACCGGAGCCCTCGCAGGGACCCGGCCGACGTGGTCACCGACACCCTGATGCTGGAGTTCAGCTGGCAGCTCAAGGAGGCGGAGCGGCAGCACAAAGAGAGGGAGAGCGAGTACAGGCGGCTGAAGACGGGGGTGGACTACAGCTGGCTGGCCAGCACGCCGCGCTCCTCCTTCAGCATCAGCACCGCGGAGAGGCTGGCCCTGGAGGAGCTCTGCTCCAAGGTGCCGCCGTCCTGCTGTGGGCTGGTCATCCTCAAGTAAGGACTTAGCAGACTCTGCCCCCAACAGGGTTTCCCAACAAGATCAACCAGTTCAGATCTTCTCCTGTGACCGAACAAAGTCCAGAAACCTTTGGAGACACACTGGGACTCCATATAAAGTAACTTAAAGTTAACAAGGATGATTTTCCTGAAGCAAAACGATCAGATGGCCCACTTCTCTCCATCTTTTAAGCTGAGGCAGAAATGTTCTAAACCTGTCTTTGGCACCTGTTGCTGGAACGCTGCCGAGGCCTCCGGCATCCTGTTAGAGTTTGATGGCGTCAGCGTTCGCGTGCGGAGGCTGTGCTCAAAGCATAGGTCCCAGCCACCACCTGGAGCTTGCTGTTCTGAATTGTGTTGGCACAGGCTGAATTGCTCCGACTTTTTTTCTGTGTGTGATTTAAGTTTTCTAAAACACTTGAATTCAAATCTTTGCTCCAACAGTATTTTTGGATTTGCAGCAGTTTATAAAACAGACAGCTTGTTTGTACCTGAAATTTAAAAAAGCAAAATAAAGCAAATGTGACAGAATAGGAAGATTAATTATTGAAGCAGATTTAAATATGTTAATGACATGTGCATATCAGTGACCCTCAATATCTATTATATTAAATTATTATTATATGAACTAATAAACAATAATTAGTTATATATAACAATGTCCTTCCTCATGGCTCAGTGCTTGCTTTATTAAAGCCTTTTACGTGTCCTTTTTACAATCCGGGGAGAATAGTGATTCATGGATAAAGGGTCAGTAACTACTCACTATTAAGCTTCATCACAATTTCAGCAACTGAAAGAAGAAAAAGAAAACTAAGAATGATTTTGATTTTGTTTTTCTCTGAGCAAGCAAAACTGCTGCATTCTGACACAGAAAAGGAGGTACTTATTGGAGAGCCCATTCCTGGAAAAGGAGTACACAGGGCTGGTTAAGGCAAAGCCTGTTTTAGGGAGGAGTAATTGGGAGCTTGGCCGTGCTCTGGTGATGGAGCAGGTGTGCTTCATGAAGCAGATTGAATCTAAATCCTAGTTAAAACTGATCATGGAAACAATTCAAGCAGTGGACATAAAACATCAGCATAAAAGATGGATGATATTAGACTTGTCGGCCAGCCAAAATAAGAATCAAAGTGAAGATCTGACCATTCATATAGTATTGGATTTAGCTGTTTAATCGGGCACTGCGTAGTTTTTCACAAACTCCTGAGCTTTGTTGTGCTTTGGTCTGCAGGTTTAGGGACGTTGTGCAGGCCAACGAGCCAGATGTGCAGGAGGTTTCCGGCCTGTTCCGCTCCGTCCTCCTGGAGGCGTTGGACCAGCTGAAGGAGGAGCAGGAGGCGCAGCGACTGGCCCGCCAGTGGAACAACAAACGCGCCATGAGCATGAACTTCCGGTCCCGGATCAAGATCAACCCGTTCGGGAGCACGGTGGGCCTCACCTCGGCGGCGGCCGACGGGACGGGGCTGAGCGACCTGAAAACCGTGTCGGGGGACGTGGAGAAGGGGGCAGACAGAGAGGACAGGGCGCAGAGGGTGTGGAGCATGCCTGACTTTAGATACAAAGGGACCGGCGGCAGTAGGGTGGTCTGATGTGGCCGACGGCGCCACGCTTTAGCGGGACTGGTGCAGCACAGGGTGACCGCAGGAGGCCGAGGGGAGGTGTTGGATTCAGAACCGCTCAGCATTTAACTCTATGACTCTGAAGTTTGAAAAAAAAAGAAAAAGAAAAAAGGGTGACGTCAGGTGCTTCTTGTGACTTGATGTACCTCGACAGCTTGAGACGGTTCAAACTTTTCCTGACGTGGGTGATGTCACACGACCAGCCAATCATTGAGGGCTATTCACTGTAGCCTTAGTTCTAAACAGTTCACTTCATCACCGAAATCAGAGGCTGAGCCGGGCGGTCTCACAGCAGCACATGAAGGACTAAACAGCAACCCAAAAGCTTTCCCTCTGCACTTTTTATTTACAATAGTGTCAAAAGAAAAAAAAAAGGGGTGGGAGAAAATCATTAAATGTTTCCTGTCATGAAACATTTAAGAGTAAAATCTTTCCAAAGTCAAATCTTCAGTTGTGTTTTTCTTCCTATAGTCGCACGTCTGCACCCTCACCCACATGAAGCTCTCCTCTGGTTGATATGAGGCAACACTGACTGTGTTTTACTGTGTATTTCAAGGCAGAAAAGGGACTGAACACAAGAACAAACTTTTGGTGAATGAATGTGGAGAATAAAAATAAAAAAACACACAAACAAAACCCAGTCACAGTCAGACTATGGTCACATTAAAAGTTTGCACATTAAAACTATGACTTCAGTACATCTTGAGTACAAAGCCGCTCCCTTAACTAGAGGTTACTGTAGAAACGTAAAGCTTATTTTTCTAAGAGTGGGATTATTATTTGATACTTTGTGACTGAATAACACATTCAAACAAATCAAAATCTTAGAAGAACTGGCATTTCATGCTCCTTTACTTCTTAACAGAAACGGTCAGTGTTTTCTGAGGGGAAAAAAGCGTGTCCCCCTCCTGTGTCTAATGACACATCTGATCAGAACTGTGTGGAATGATGATATTAGGAAAACAAATGTCTGAAGTGAAACTAAATATCAGACTCTGTTAAACTATATGGGTAATACAGATTTCAATACTTCCAAACTGTAAGTCGTGAGTGTAATTTGTCCGAGTGTTTCTTTAGAGGGAGTAAAATCCTATAACCATAAATGCAGTAGGGAAATCAGGGGCTGGAAGGACACGGATTTTCATTTCCTTTATCATCGATGAAGCTTCTCGCGTCACCAAAGCTGTCAGATTGAAGAACTGAAGAATGAATCACTTGCAACAAGCACAAAGGTGAAAAAAAGTGGCTTATGGACTCAACGCGTCTTAATTTCCTTCCAGAGATAAGTTCTCTTTTGCTCCAGGCAGCAGGCTGCTGCTCCTCTGTGGTGAAGACACTCCCATAGATCATCCCTCTTTCAGAGAAATTTTTTTTTTGTCCCCTGGAAAGCCGAAGTGCCGTTTCCTGACTCCTGCCGACATGTTATTGACCGGCCTGCCGTCACAGCGTAGAGTTCAAGAACTCAAGAAGTTCTGCTCGATTTTTATCCCGCTGTGAGAAAACAAAGCAAGTGTGGGGGAACAATTCACAGCACATAAAACGCTGATTTGTTGACTTGACAGACAAAAAATTTGATTACCTGCTTGTCTTTTTTAGACTTCTTGACTTTCATCTTTATCTTCTTCCCAGAAATCATACTGTACTTGCCTTTTTTCCTGTCTTTCAAGTACTGAAACAAGAAGAAACCTTTTAAGCGCTACAATCCATAATCCAAACCCAGACTGGTCTTGGTTATAAGAGGATCTTTAATACCTTTGAGATCTGAACAGGTCCCGAGTTTTCTTCTCCTCCTTTTGCCTTCTTCTCTTTCTTACGTTTCTGCCTCTTCTCTTTTTTCCCTTTCTGGTAAAAAGTAAATACGCTTTCTATGAGCAACATTCAAAATGAAGCAATGTGAAAAGAAATGTGTATTTTTGTCACCTTTCGGTGTTTCTCCTTTTTCATTTTCTTTGACTGTTTTCTGGATTTACTCCGAGAGTCTGAAATCAACAACCAGTAACAACACAATGAGCCAAATCTAAACCTTAACGAGTCAAAAGAAAAAAAAAAGAAGGTTAACGGTAAATCAAACTGCAAACCAAAAATTGAACTTTACAATAGTTTCTGCTTTGCCATCAGTCAGTTTGCAATGTTTTTTTTTTTTAATCCACTGACTGTTGAGGCTACGGCTCCTTGTGGACTTGTGGTCAAACCTCCTCCAGATATGGTGTAATGTCTATTTGTGCTGTTCAGAGGTGGGGCAAAGAATCAGCAATGTGAATAGATGTTTTATGCACACATACCACTGCTAGAGCTACTTCGACTGCTGCTGGATGACTGTGAATCATTAGAAGAGGATGATGACGATGACGATGACGAAGACGAGGACGAACTGGAGGAGGATGAGGAAGAAGATCTACTAGGGCTTCTTTTCCGCTTCCTTTTTCCTCGACCTGAATGGCATAAAAGTCGTATAAATATATGTAGATCCACACAGAAAAGGAAAACATAAACACTTCATAGACAGTAAGTGCGTTCCAGACGAACAAATGAATGGAATTCATATAAGAAGGCTTTTTGATGCTTCATTCAGATTTTCTTAAAAGACATAATTCAGCCATTTACCTGAAATAAAAGAGTTGGGATATGATACATGGTTGAATAATTTAGGGAATCTCTTGGGTTAAATGTAGACTATGGAATCTGTCACAAACTGTATTTAAATTTCAACCATGTTTACTACATCCAGCTTTAAGTACCTAATAATAGCAGGTACATTTCTGTTCCAATCTGCATGCAAAGCAGGGGTAAGCAACTGACTTAGATTCTGATCCATCCAAGAGGTGCTTCTAACCTCTGACACAGTCCAGTTTTAGGATGATGAATGACCATAGTTTAAAACGCCATTTGGACTTATACACATGTGCAGATACCATCAAGTATCAAGATCCCTCCCAAAAAATGAAATACTTAAAAAAAACAATTTCTTGATTTTAATTTGTCATGGCAAAATATTTAAAAAGCACAATTCAGACAAGAACAGATATTTTACAACCATTAAATAATGTCTTACAGTATCTTACTAGGGAAAAAAGTCTGTTGCTTAAACACAACTGATCAAAAGTCTCAGACAATCTCCAGCCTGGCTGTTTGCAATAAAAATGCACAACGTAATTTTTCTTGAATAGGTGTTCATTAACTCAGTAGTTCTTCCACTCTGTAGCTAAATAGAAGCAGCACTAGGCTTGTAGCGGGCTGTCGGCATGCATCCGTGACAGCTAAAAGTAGGCAGCGACTCGAAAATCCAGATTTAACTTTAGAGAAGCTATTTTACCTCTGCTCGTTGATCTACTCCTTTCTTCTGTTCGGGACGTGGAGCTGGACACTCTGCATTCCGTTTTCGTGGACTAAAACACATTAAACATGTTTAATGTTGATGTGCCGCCGCGTTTTAAAAGGAGCACCACCTTCTGTAAAGCGTGCTACATTATCCAGTTTCAAATAAATAACCGAAAGGTTTAGGCAGCTATGAAAAAACAGAACCATTTGAAGATTCGTAAGGAAGCGTGATGTTTAGAGACTTGTCAACTTTAATAGTCTTTTTCATTGGAGCTTTTTAGTACACTATCGTAGCTACGCTTACGAAGCTAAAGACTACTCCCTTAAACCTTATAAATAAACCACCATTATTGGTAAACGAGGCCCTTCTGTACTCACCATAGCGACAAAAGAGTGCAGTTAACAAACTATATTTTATTGATACCACCGGAAATATTGCTAAATGGCACATTTATACGTTTCATATCCGATACGTTAGCATCAAATAGCCTTCATGGCAGACATTTTGAACCCCATAATGCACCGCTGCTGGCTACTTTCAAAACACGGGCGGGAGAAAACAACAGATGACACAGCGCCTCTAGTGGTGAGGCGAAAGACTTCTTAAATGCTCCTGAGTGTGTTACTCAGATTAAAGTTACAGTGATATACCAGCTGTCAAAAATGCCGTCTTACATTGTATCCAGGGACATTTTTTAATGCTTACTGGTGACATTTACAAGTATTTGGTTTTCAACTTCAAACAGGCAGTCATAAAACGTTCTGCAAGGATCAAAACTAAAATTCAGCCAACTTTTTCAGAGGTTTAAAAGTTCAGCTGTCCAAGGATGCTTTTATGGTCTCAACTAGTTGCGACTGGATTTTGAAAATTTGGAATTTTTTTGTTGATTTCACAGCAGCAATGTTTGAAGAAGCACGACATAAACAGCAATATTGTACAAAAACATATTTATTATGACAGAATTAGTATATTATACAAATAGGAGCACATGCCGACCGTATAAAAATACAAAAACGTCAATGTTCTTCAGTGTTCTGGGCATCATAAATCATTTGAAAAAACCTGAAAATATTTGATTAGTCCATTTGTAGTCAGTTTCATCGAGCTAATAGTCCTGTCCTATAATTTGACATGCAACACATGAAAAACTTGCCTTTCAGCCCAGCTTTTAAATTCTTGTGAAGTTGTCTGAAATTTTTTTTAGTACCAGTTGTCATTCCGTAGCTTTGATAAAACTGACCATGTCAATTCATAAAAGAACTAAGCTGTATGTACATATAAGAATGCATTTGCTCATGACAGAAATGCAAAAAGTCTCAGCTTGCCCAGGAACAACAAAGCTTATTATAATTGTACAAGTGGCCTGGAAAAGATGGAAATTGCTCGGAGTTAAGGAAAGATAAGACACACAAAGGTTCATTAGTTACAGAAACATTATGCGACCATCCCTGCCCATGTCAGAGCTCCGATGCTGCTTTTCCAGCTGGACTCTGACTCCTCATACCAGGACTGGGCTCCAGTGAGGTAATGCAAAGCAACAGATCAAAGCCCAGTTTACTTCCATATTTAACTCGAGTTTGAGCTGATATGGATATGTAAGATGTGAAGAAGTATGCAAAGACAATATACACTTTAGTAACATCTTAAAACATGCTCATATGCGTTTTTATATAATATAATATAAAAGGACATTATGAAAAGCTTACAAAAGTAGCAGTGGAGGTACAGAGTGATTGTGTTTGTAAATCCCTGAAGTGTTTTTTTTTCTAAAAACTGGATTAAGAGATATTTATACTTCTGAAAATGAAATGTTTTTTTTAATGAAAAACATAAAAATCTATCAGTGTACTTCATTACTTCAAAACTGAGCTTCGTCATAATGAAAAATGGCCCATTTGGAGATTTTTTTGTGAGGAAAGCAAGGTTAAAAGTGTTTTTATAATTTGTTTTTCAAATCACAGTAACATAATTGGTAAGTAAAGCTTAAAGAAAAACTGTAAGTCTTCATTTCAAGACGAGAAGATGTTGTTTTAGGCTTCTGCTTTGTTCTTTGAGTGATCTGCTGGAGCCAAGCTCCCTTCGTTCTCCTCATCCTCCTCAGGAACCTGGAAGACATGCAGAACTTAACATGTGTTTGTGACATGATAAAAACAAAACAAAGTAATGCTAGTAGTTACCTCCCAGTAAATAGAGTCATCGAAGCAGTTCTGGTCTGGAGGCTGTCCCCAGAATGGCAACTTCATTATCAAACCTTGAAAAATAAAATAAGTGGTTTAGTCACTCAGATGTTGCTCATTTGATCAAAGTATGAGGCCTTTCTAGTCACTTGACCTTGTGCAGGATGTGTCGTAAATGCTGTATCCGTTTTAATCGCAACCAACCTGTAAAAGCACCTCCAATCAAAGCGAACCCAAGGGATGAAGCCAAGGCTGCTCCTTGCATGGTTGCCGACCTTACGTTTGAATTGAGAATTAGATTACCTTACGACCACATAACTATTCGACATTAAAGTGTATTGAAAAGCGCAAGATTTACCCGTCCTTTTTCCCCAAAGCCACGGCAACAATGCCAGCCAGTCCACCCAGGATGCCAGGCATGCCATGCAGATTGTGCACTCCACAGGTATCCTGGATCCCCAGATTGGATGAGAGGATGGGCTGCAGAGTAGACAAAAGCCCAAGGTGAAATATCCACTCATATCCCTGAAAGGAGTTTCCCTATTTCCAATTTGAGGAGATTCTCCTTTTCCTCATGAGTATCAAGGAGTGAGTGCCATCTAAATGGGCTCCAGTTATAATATATAACAATATGTTCACCCTTATTTCTCACAGTTTTTTTTAAAAACTCACAGAGAGGTACTTGAAACCCAAGGTGGAGATGATGCCAGCTGTTAGTCCAATCAGCATGGCCCCAAATGGCTCGATGGCCATATCAGCGCACGTTCCCACGGCAACGCCACCGGCCAAAGTGGCATTTTGAATGTGCACCTATAAAGATATAAAGACACGTGCTAAACGGAATCTGTGATGTGAGATTAGTCGATCTCAGAGGGAATTTGGCTGACCATGTCCAGTTTTCCTTTGTGCTCCACCAGGCTGGAGATGGCGTAGGCCGAGAGCACACAGGCCGCCAGGGAGAAGTAGGTATTGATCACAGCAGTGAGCTGAGTGTATCCTGGTTCGGCGATTGCTGAGTTGAAGCTGGGCCAGAACATCCAGAGGTAGACAGTTCCTGTAGAGTAAGCATGCTTGTGTTTATACTTATGTTTACTGAACGGATAAACATTGACGTCATTGTCAGTCTTGGCGTGATTTGCATGCATATGTCTGTCCACTATGGGGCACAATTCCTTCATGGTCAGGATGAACTGGGAGGGAATGGCACCAGATTGAGCACCTTACTCCAATTTACACCATGTTACATGATACTTATTCATAGTATTTTATGCTGATTTTCAAACTACAACCCCCAAAATCTCTTCAAGAAAAATAATTTTTACAAAATATCAGCGTTTCAATGTTAAATATTAGGGTTTTAGGTACAGTATTTGGGATTAAAGAGCAAAGTGTTTGTGCAGTAGTAATTGAAATTGACCAAATTGCAACAATTCAAAATGTAACTGTCTCTTACCAATCATTGCAAACAGATCGGAGTGATAAACGGATCCATCGTTCTCATGTCCATTTCTTAAACCAGGTCTGTAAAGCACTCGAGCCACTGCCAAGCCGAAGTATGCTCCAAAAGCATGGATGATCATCGATGCTCCAACATCATTAGCCTAATAAAGAAAAGGTAACGTGACATATACAGGTATGGCCATGCGTCTTGAAACTTTGTTTAATTTTGTTTTCATGTTGAATCCTCAACACTGAAATAAAGGGGTTTAATCTAATTATGTACCAGAATAAACTCACTTTAAAAACTGTAGCCACAAGATGTTCATTGATGGAGAAGACGGTGATTTCTAGTATGGTCATGATGAGGAGCTGCACAGGACTTGTTTTACCCAAGACGGCACCAAAGGAGATCAGGACTGTAGCCGTGCTGAAGTCTGCGTTGATCATTCTACGTTCAGGGAAGACAGTGAGTCATCAAGACACAACAGACAAACCTCCCTCAGTGTTTAGCAGCACTGAAAAGCTATGGAAGTCAATCAGAGCTTTCTCAAAAATATTGTAATCTCATGGAAAATGGCTGAAGCTGCAACCTCTGCAGAGGCAGGAGGACCTTACAAAGCTCCAAAACTTTTTGGATGTCTGTAACAGCCTATTGGTACTGTAATATGTACAGTAAATTAGAGGTTTTTTTTTCTGTGCACTCATCGTTTGTAGGTATTATTGCTGAAAACGTTCTCCTCTTATGGGGATTTAAGCGAACCAGTTTTACTGACGGACTTTAAAAGATACGATCAAAGACATACTTAAAGACGTCGACTTTAATTTGGCCGTGATCCATGTGCCAGAAGCCCTGCATGAGGAGGCCCCATTGCAGACCAAAGGCAGCCAGGAGGAGGTTGACGCCCACGCTGCTGAACCCATATTTCTTCAGGAATGTCATCAGGAACCCAAAACCGATGAAGATCATGACATGGACGTCCTGGAACACTGAGGGTATAGGAAGAGAGATTAGTTCGGCCACTCTTAAATCAAATGAGGGAACTGAGTCAAATCAAACACTTTCGTGTCGAGTTGTCGTTATAAAGATGAGAGCTACATTTTACTATTTTCCATCATGGTATTGTTTCCAGCTCAGATGGTTTATGAAGAACACATTAACCTTAATCAGTGCAATTTCCCTCAACAGGGACCTTCATTGTTTACTGTGACCTGTTAACTGGGAAAGCAATTTAAAATCACAGCCTGATTATGGCAATGTGGGTGGGAAAAATAAGTCCCTGCTGTCCCTGTTGGGTTGGATTTTAATAAGTTTACACTATCACAAAGTTCAACCTGATATTTAGTAAACTGCATCACATTCCATGTTGATTTATCCATGTATATTTGTTTTTACTATGTTTTCAAGACACTAGCACAGACACCAAAACCAGAAAGGTGTAAGAAGGGATTCACATAGAACTAAATACTCCCACCAGAAATCATCAGCATGCAGGAAGTTGGAGTTTTATTTTGCTTGGGCGTTTGAGGTCAATATGACATGCGTTAAATATGGAAAATTCCTCAAGGTGGAACCATTCAGGCTGTGAAACAATACCCTGCATTTCCTTACGTCTTCATTTGCCTTTGCTGTATTTAACCTCTATTGTGTAGACAGCAGCCCACTGCTGTGCTGAAGCCAGAGAGGAATATTTTTAGGATTTGGGAAATTTGGGATTCACTTTTATTTCAGGTGAAGTGGAACCATTAATCTATCAACTGGGTTGTCGGATGGCTGGAACCTATCCCACCTGCCCACCTGAGAACCGTGCAGCTGTGGCTGAAAGAAGTGATAAAGTTGTTCCAGCGAGTAATGCAAGGCTTTCTTATCATTGGAACATTTGTTTTGGTGGTTACTTCTTGTGACTGTGATGTCACCGTGTGACCGATAGAGACTCTAGTGAGTTATTGCCCAAGGCCACGTCTCAGCAGAAAATGTGAAACACATACATTCATCTATTTGTATCTCGTGGTTGTCAACTGTGAGATTGAAAGATATCCCTAAGAGTGTGATTTTCTGAGAGAAAGTGCAATTTTCTGAGTGTAAAAATGTATCAGCTGTTACCATGTTGATTTGGTCACTGGCAGTGTGTGGTTATTACATATGGACCAAGTAAATGTTGACGCCCTCACATAACATTCAGATACTTTTTACACTTAATTTGATCATAATCAACTGGATTATAATTTAAATTGTTGGGACTTTTATAACATATCTCTAAAGTGCCTCATGTTGTGCTCTGTTGCCATGATCTGAGCTGAATTGAAATAACTTGAACCACTTGAATTTGAAAATGCAAATAAAAAATCAGGAATCATGTGGGAGGGAAGCAACAACATATGACTGTTAAAGGTGTATGATTAGATTTCTGTGCTCAAGCTTTGCTCCTGCTCCTCAAGAAATTTCTCAAAAAGGACGTACTATTACTTTAAATAACTACCTACGCCCCATAACACTATTAACATAAAACTGTTGTATATTGCTGAATACATTACTATGAATTTATTTTCTTATATTTGTCTGATTGAGACTCAGAGTGTAAAAGCCCTAACCTGTAATTTAAGTACACTTGAGTGATTTAAATCAGCAAACGTCAAAATTGTTTGGGCTTCATGGGCATTTCTAAACAATAAAAAAAAGATCTTAAATGTGTTTTTGCAATTTCTATCTTAAACAGCTATCTTTTTTCACCTTTCTTTATTAGAAATGACCTTTCTTATTGGATTGAAATGATTCTATTCTAACGTTTTAAAATGTAGAGAACGACGTTTGCAGCGGTGCATTGAGGTTTGAATATCTGGATGGGCTGGAAGCCATTTGCAGATAGCTTTAAGCACACCTGACCCCGTCGTCGTCTCAGCTGATTGACTCTGACTTGCCTCCCTTGTGGCACAGGCTCTTGGCGAACAGCGAAAGCCCCTAAACAGGATGCTGTTGCACTAAAGTTGGAAAGTAGCCTGTGACTGGCACCACGCCCAGATGTTAGGTAACGCTCTATCTTCTTAAGAAGTGGGTGAGCCAAGCCTGAAGAGAATCCCCCTGAGGAGCTTCTGTAGTACTGACTGTAGGGGAGGGATGTAACCAGCCAACAAAGATAAATCATTATAGCCTTTTTTTTAGAATGCTGGAGCTACAAATCTTATAGTCTTTGATGTGATCAGTTTCTGTTAAACTCCTTGTTGAGAAGAAATGAGAAAACAATGGAGTTTTATGAAATACCAGAAAGCAATAGTTATTCATATATTTAAAAATAAACAAATATTCTCAATGCTCAAGGATGAAGCTCAGATGCTTCAGTTGAATCTAAGTGATTCTGTATCTACCCAAAACTTCATACTTCTTCTCTTTTCGACTTAAGCTCATCCAACATAATTTTGATATTTTGGGCATTTTACTGAGCCATGTGTGCAGAAATATTACAATTTATACTCAATATTAGACATGAGCAATTCCAAACACTGTGACACCTGTTGCATGGGTCATTGTTTTTTTTACATACATTTTTGTTGAAAATGATAAAACATAGCTTAAATGACCTTTTACATAAGGGAAAAAATAAAATGCCTAAACCTAGTCAACAGTGACAGTGGTTAAAGACACCAAAATAAAAATAAAGATATTCAACGTTATGAAATTGAACTAACACCTGCCCCACCCTATCAGGAGCACGCATTCATTCAGTCAAACAGCTGTGTAGAGTTACAGCTCTCTTAATGCATACAAGAGGACCTCTTGCTTCCAAACTTGGAAGCAATAGTAATACATACATACATATGTGCAAATATATATATATATATATATTTATATATATATATATCAATAATGTGACCTCTTCTAAGTGAGAGCTGACCCTTTCTCCTGCAGTATTGTCTTGACTCCGTAGCTGTATATTTGACTCTTTAACAGGGCACAGTAACACCTCATGACTTCTTTTATTGGTTTCAGCAGACCTCCAGCTTCTTTTTCTTGCAAGTAATAGGTAAATACACTTAAGATGAACTATTCCTGGGAAAGAAGGTCGTCCATTTCAGCTCGTCCTGCTCTTCCTTTTTGAGAGCTTTTACATTTTATGTCTGATCCCTCCCACTAACCAGCCTATGACGGCAAACAAGGGTTTGTGTTGCATATATTTACTCTGCTGTTAGTAAACATATTTGCTTATTAAGTTATGCAACACATTTATCATAATCTATAGACAGAGTCTTAGACTCTTCAGAAGTGGTTCCATGTGGAGTTCATGCGTCAGCATGCAGCTCTATGCAGACTTACTGGGGTAGAGATCCATAGGCTTGGCTTCATGGGTGTCATTGGAGTGATCACCGTCATGGTGAGAATCACCATGACCTTTTCCATCATCATAGGTGACAAACACTCCAAACAGGATGATAGTGATAATTTCCAAAGTTAAGGCCACAATGGGAAACTTCATCCTCATGCTGGTGGCATACGCAGGCATCCTGAGACCAACTCTGGTTATCTCACAAAAGCCGTGAGCGTCTGTTCTTCCTTATCTACTTTTTGTAGCGGTCGTGCCGTGTGAAGGGAGGGAGGAAAGCAGCAACTGGTTTTAAACTGGTGCAGGTTTCGTGGCGACCAATGACAGGGCAGAAGACTGGGGCCTCGGTGGTGAACACCCCCCCACTTCATGCACTTTGCTCACGAGGGATGGGTTTCCTCTGTGGACTGAGGAGGGAACAAAGCATAACACTAACGTAATGACACCCAGCCAGTGGCTGGACATTAGAGAAGGACCTAATGACTAGAGCTTCCTACTCATTTCTCACTGTCAAAGTTTTTTTTATTTCACTTCTGACTGATGTCACATTTCCTTGAGTTTTTTGTCTTTATTTGCACTTATGAACACTGTTCCTCTTTTTCTTTTTAGAAGACTTGTGACCAATAAACCCTGAAATTTCAGTTCCAGCACCTTTATGAAAACAATTGCACAGTATAAAAGTTTTAAATAGCAAACAAAACCGTTGCCCTTGAAGTATAAATACGTTGAGATGACAAAATGTCTTTATAAATCTCTTATCTGACTTTTTAAAATTCTAGGTATACTTATGGATGTTCATTCAAATTCATTTTAACAAGCGATCATATGATTGAAGTGACCTTGCTCTGTTCTTGTCCACAGCAAGATCACATGGAAAATCATGTACAAGTGTGCTAATTTAATACAAAGAATGTATGTCATAACTCGTGTGACAGAAAGATCCTTTCATGGAGGGTCCATGACTTTGGTGAAGAACATACAGGATCCATTCTGTCTAAATTAGATCAGACTCAGATGTGACACTATTTGACCCCTCTATATTTAGCATGCAGGAGGTGGTTTATAAAGCATTTTCACGCATGTAAGTGTTTTTGCATTTATTTGTAAGCAGCACTGAACAGTGAGCAGTTTTTATGGTTAAGGTATGCTTGTATGCAACCCAGAAAGATGCTGAATACAGATTTGAGAATAAGGCCTATCCTGAAAATTTGAATTGATGCATCAGTATGATTGTATATGCCTGCAAAAACACCACTTAAAAGCATGTTAGTAATGAATAAATGCGGAATGAATCTGTCACAGTTACAGTTTGTTCACCCAACAACGCAAACTTCCATGCATGAATGGTAGAGCACCACTACAGTATTTTCAGGTATATTACCATTGTGGATAAAACTTAATGACACTGACAACAAAGAATATGATCAAGCTTAACGTAAAAAAAGTTTAGAATTTCAGTCATTTCAAATCTCCACCGTTAAATGCTGGCGTGACCACCCCTTTCTAGTTCCTTGGGGCTCCTCGTCTCATATTGCCTTAACAAGGATTGCAAAGTGTCATTCCACACATGCTCGCTGCAGACAGTGAGTGTAACTGAGCTCGTGTTAAGCCACAGTTTGAGTCCTCCAACGTCAACTAAATGCATGACGCTTCATCGTGTTTTTGAAGAATAAGGTTTCCAAAACTTTGGTAAAAGACTTCAAAGTCTCAGCATAAGTGATGCTGTTTGCTATTGTTTCATTTGATGTTGGACAGCAATAAAATAATTTTGATATGGCTCTAAGCCTTTGATGCTGTGTTTATCATATTTGATTAATATATCAGAGAACTTTTCCATTGTTATCTTCAAAACGGTTCTAAATAAAACCTGATTCTAGAATATTTACTTTTTTGCATTTAGTTTTTGCATGACAACATGATGGGCAAAAAACAAAACAACTCAATTTAATAAAAAAAAACGCATATGTACATTTTTTAAAAACGCTTTTTCCTGGGTCAGATCTTGGTGAGGTATTGTTGGAGGTCTGAAAAGAAGTAAGCTTAAAGCTTGAAACATGACTGTAAATCAATGAAAAAATTATGATAGTGGCATTTCCATCTTATAAAGCTTCATACTTATTTTCTTTTTAAACATTGTATGAACTCATGAAAAGCGATGTTACAGATCCAACATTTGATGATCTGAGAAAGATTTGTTCTTGAACTGTTTTTACGAGTTGAGTATTTGAAATGGTTTCCCATTCAAACAGCACAAGCCTCTGCTTCCTTTCTCACTGGAAACAGTCCAAGCTCACGTCTGCTCTGATCAGGGTGCAGGTCCTGATCCAGTAAGAGACTCCCACAGAGAGTGGGGTGACAACCCGAGGGCCTCTCACTAAATTACATCAAGCCCAAGGTTCTTCACGATGACCAGGGACCTTACAAATAAGCAGAGTAGCTAATCACTGCCAGCGACACTTTTATGTTTTTCTTGGAGCTGAGATCATGGGGCTTTTCCCAGACCCTTTTGGAAATTACTTCCAAATGTTGAGAGATATCAAAAACTCTGAGGCAATACAGAGACTTATCTACTTTCACAGACTTATTATTCTGTCAGTGAGCACGGTGAAGTTTTGTGCTTATTCTCCTGGGTTATTCTTTTTTCAAACAAGTGGATTAGTAAAAGCATGGGAAGACTTGTGGTCCAACTGACACAGTCATTCATGCATGATGATGATAGATACTCCCCCAAATCAGGTCCCCCCTCTCTGCTCTTTTAACTGTACCATTTTGGCTCTTCCAATGTTTCTTTACTAATTATTCAGTTGCCTATGTACATATTAGCCCTAGTTGTGTTGTTTATTCTTCAATTATGTTTACTATTAGAATCTTCTGGCTTCAAAATGATCTTTCTTCACCAATCTGTAACTCCAACAAAATCCGACTAAAAACACTGAATGCAAGAAGAGCTTTAAGATGATGTTCATTCCATCTTTGCGTTGAAACAGTTTGGATTAAAATCGGTGCGTAATGCTTTAGGTTGTAAATACTTTTAGGTTTTTTCTAAAGAAATGCTGTCGGCTCAAAGGAGTAAAACGACCAAATTTAGTAGTCTGCAGGCCCTTTGGTCGCTGAATAAGCAGGGGTTTTTTTGTTTGAACTCCAAACCACACTGATTCACAAATTGGAACATTTTTCCCATTAAATGTGAAACAAAAGTTGAATATTCATTATTAGGTGAAGAACTGCTCCTCTTTTTAACTCTGTGGAAATATTTGCATGTTCACATCCATTAAAAGATAAATTCAATTACTTCACATGTAGACATGATTGAACTATTCACCAGAGGATGTTTGCATCTCTGTTTTACATTTAGCTGCCATGACTGTCGTTTCCTGATTTCTCTTGCTGAGGAATAACAGCTTTTGCTGTAAAAATAAGAAAATTGCATTTCAGAGATAAATTCAGAAATGTTTGACAAAAAAATGAAAAAGCAAAAGTATGCATTTTTCATTTCTTTGATTAAAACTGGATCATCTCTCATTATGTCGTAACCACACATGTTTGAATTACCACCATAATTACTGGCTGCATTTGTTTCATGTGTAGCAGTTTCTACGGGAAATAAATGTGTCGCCTATTCAGCAACCAGATTGTAACAAACGTAAGAGACAGCAGTGAACAGGAAAGAGCAGAGGATTTTTTGTTATCTGTAAAATCAGTTTTGATCTAGCCTCCTTGTGAACTTCACATTCCAGGAAAGCCATTAGACCCTTTATCTTTCCTCACTCACAACCCCACCGTAAAACAAAGATTTGTGGAAAATAAACAAGCCATCAGGCCTAAATGTGTCCCCTTTTGTCAGATCCCCACATTCCATTATGTAACATACTGGACTACACAGAGCTCTCCAGACTGACCAGATGATACCACCCTCACTTTCCTCATCGGTCAAAGACCTTAGTCTCGCTGTACCAGAGAGATGACTTGGTGAGTGTGGGGCATTCAAGAGTGGAGGAGTTGGAGGATAGATTACAACCTGAGTTCATTTTGGATTTCTGTGTCAGGACATTCCTGGAAAGACTTACTGTGTCACACGAAAGGGTCAAACTGAGGTTTCAATGGTCTCACAACGATGAGCATTTGCTGAAAATATTCCACGTAGTAATAATTTGAGAGCCGTTTTATAGCAAAGATTTATTTCAATTTGATTTCCGTCACAAAAACAGAAACATTTATTGTTTTGAAGAATTCACTCAGAGATTAGAAAGACCGCTATTATCTGAAAGCTGTATTTGACTAAAAATATCAGTCAGACTATCATATATATGTTTTTAACAATTTGCAGGGCTCGATAGATAAATGAGAAGAATGGATACTAAAAAAGAAGAGCTTCTAAAGAAATATCTTTTGTCGGGTGCACTTTAAAAGAATTTGAGTATTTTATCATTTATTCATTGTTAAGTATGAATTTATCAATAGTAAGTAGGACTTCATGAGGAGTCTTCTCCTTACACTGCGTGCAAACATTTGCCCCCGCCTCTTGTTGAACACTCAGGGGAGGAATAACACATTCCTCAGTCTGGAGGATTCTTCCATATAGAGATATGTATATAGCTGATTAGAAACAGAAACATGTTAGTGTGGCAGACAAAAGCCAGATTTTTTTTTTGCGCTCTTGAGTCATAACTGTTAAGTAATTCATCTTTTGCTGGGGAAGGCCAGCAATGCGACACCACATACATACTGCTTTTTTTCAAATGCACGTGAGCTCCACCGAGACTTGCGTGCTTCATAGTTTTAGTACATCTGCCTGAGCTCTGAGGTCTGATAAATATATCATTGAGGGTGTCTAGGAGAAAATGTCAGCCTGTATTTACAGTTAAATGTGGAAGCAGAGATTCATCAATGGAGAATTATAAAGTGTTTTATTGTTCATTTGAGCCATACTACTCATGTCTGAGTACCAGCAGCTGCATGTAATAACTATTACTCTTGAATACATTTTCTTTTTCTTTTGCTTGAAGTACTTGATGTTGGTTTCAAACTAGTACAGATGTTTCAGTCGCTCCACTTGCTTTATTATTATTCCCTAAAGGCCACAACCAAGAAAATTGGCAATTCTTGAACAATAGTGTTCCAGAGTCTACATGATATCATACTTATACCGTCAAGAATCACAACTAGCACATTAATCTCCATCTTTGAAGAATAAACCAGAAGGTTTTTCTCCAACCCAAAGAGCCAAGTATCGGCAGTTTCTGTTTCGACATTTCATTTCCAGCGTGTGGGGATTGCAAACTGGGAGGCTGCAGTTGATTGAGTATGGACACTCCTCCCTTCGACTGCTGCGCTCTCACCACACCCCTCTGAAAGTACCCCACCCCTTGTTTCCTGCGGCTAAGAATCGTTGTACACCCAGATAAGCCCGCTCAGAGAAAAACCTATGCAGACCTGTAATCAACATGCTGGATGCTAGCAATCAA